TCAAGTGGGTACAAACAAAGCAGAACGTTGTTTGATTTAATGTCATGCTAATAGATATTGAACCCTGCAATCCAAACATAAAAATTATGAATTTAGATTGTTGGTTCAGTGTTCCACTATAAACAACTTAAGAGGGGGGGGGGGGTGGAAATGGGATTAGGATGTAATGGCGGCTGACGGACCTTGTTTCCTAGGTATCCCATGATACCACGGCCGACACACGAGACCTTCAAATTACTGATGTGCCTGTAAAGATCAACACGAACCCACACGCACAAGAAGATGCCCACCATCTGCTTGCTCGCCGCCAGGCAGAAGCGCCGCCGTAGGGGACTGTCGGAGGCGCAACGTGGGCTTGTCGATGGTTCTTCACCGGAATTCGTATTCGAATTCAAAGTCATCAACTTTTCGAAACCCTCTTTGCCAAGTTCATCTTCTAGGGAGAGTAAGTCGGAGAAGCTGGGCCTGAGCATCAGGCTTGCCTGCTGCTCCGGTTGGGACGGCGGCGATGGAATTTCGGCTTCAGTGGCAACCGGGTAATTTTGAGAAAGTTCTTGGTCGTTTTCGTTTCTGTTCAAAGCCTGACGTATAAGAGAAAGCCACTTGGCAGCCGGACCTTCGTCCTCTGCCCCGAGCACGTTGCCCGCATTTAAAGGGACGATTTCCTGAAACCTAACACACAGGATAATCACCGTAAGTCATTAAAAAAAAAAAAAAAAAAAAAAAAAAAAAAAAAAAACAAAAACAAACAAAACAAAAAGAGTAAAATTCAGAACGTTTTTTTTTTTTGGCAAAAAAAAAATTCAGAACGATTTAACATTTTAGTAAATGATAGAATTTTCGGTAAATTTTTTTAAATACAATTTTTCTATGTATTTAATTATTATAGATATTTAAAATTTTAATTATTATTTTTAATATTTCAATTAATACAACATCTTAATTTTTCTAGATCCCTAAAATAAATCAAATAAATACAGGGGTAAGAAAAGGCAAATAAAGAACATGTGTGGAATGGAGCGAAGGAGAGTGATGGAATTCTAGTGGGAAGAGCGCACGTGGGTGCTGAGCTGTGGAGCACGTTATGGGGAACACTTCATGCCTTAAAATGAAAATTTTAAAATTAACTTAAAGTTTTAATTATTTTTGAAAGAAAAATTCGATGCAATTAGATGCATAAGTTACTTGATTTAAAGAATAAAATTTTGTAAATTTTATCTATATCAAATCGTAATTTTATAACTCTTGAATGAGTGAAATTTATACTAAATTTTATTCATTTAAAAAGATATAATTTTTGTTCATTTTAAAGATACCTGGTCATTGAATTATTGTGGGTCATGAGCAAATAATGAGTGCGTAGTTGTTAGCAATCAACTTCAGGTGTTGCATGAATAGCATGATTTTAGTACAGGGAGAAGAAAAAGAGCAATACCCAAGAACGTAGATGTCAGCAGGAGCAGGTAATTTTAGCCAATCTCTCAAGTTCAATCCTTCATGAGGCGACTTCCCTCCGACATTCCATGTCCCCACAAACATCCTATAAACACCAAAACATAACTACAATCAGAACAAAACTAGACTTACTCTAACATTTTGGTTTAAGCAAAAAATGACAATAAAATCAGAAAAATCAGCAATTATGACAACACTAATTAAACCCAACTTGCCATTTCAAATAAAAACTTTATGCTAATGACAGGGTATAATTATCTTTACAAAAAAAGATATATAAAAACGTCCGACGTCACCTGAGGTTAAGGGTATCACTCGCCGGCGGCAACTCCGGTGAGATTGTCGGTTGCTTAAGCTCGTCGGTGGCTTCCATCAACCAGGTTTCTAGTGGAAGCAAAAAGGCAGTCAGTTAGGATATCAACTTCTAAAAAAGGAAAAAGCTAAATAGCTAGGCTGCTGGCAGAATCATAGGTCCAAATTATACGGCCTATAGACCTCGTCTCCGTGGAAAAATTCTATTGTATCATTGGATACCACTGACTTGAATTTTTGGATCAATAAAAACATATTATTTCTTCTTTTTCTCGTTAAATGATTGATGAAATGTGAAAAAAATCTGTTAAAATAATGTATTTTATTGATCCAAGATACAAGATGAATACCAGTGATGTAGTATCCCAGAGATTCGGCAGAATTCCTCGTCTCCGTGGCGTACAAGATACTATTAGACGGGTCCCAGTTAATATGGCCAAATCATATTAATCTTAACCGTCGAACCTAATGATTAGGAACTAGTGTATGGAAATTTGGTACAGCGTCGCAGCAAAGTAAATAGTAGTACCTGAGAAATTCTCCGGTACATAGGCGTAATAATCTTCATCGGAACAACTCTTCCTTCTCTCGATTTCGCTTCCTGCAAAGGCAATAACCGCTCGGTTCGATCGAAATCGGAAACTATTAAAAAAAAAAAGAAAAGCCCCAAACGATATGGGTTTACCTTTTATGGTGTAATCGGAAAGAAACTCGTCGGCTCCGCTCTTTATATTCAGCCATTTCCTCACGATCGCCTTCGGCCAAGAAGACTGTGCCGGAAAGGGGAAAGTAGTCAGTTTCAGAACCGAGAAATGAAACGTTGAAAACGAGGGATCGGAGAGGATGGAAAGGGTACATACCTTGGAGGTTTTCGACATCTCTGTTTTCATTGCTCCGGCTTCTGAATCAGAGAAATTTTTTTTAAAAGAAATTAAATTCAAAACAACTTGCGATTATATAATGTTTTCAGTTATCCGTTTTATATGTAAGATCTTTCTAGGTGGAAAATATAATAGAAAACGTATTGTAAACAGGAAAACAACAAATTGTGGGTAATCAGGAAACACCAAGGCGGTAAGAAAATTGATTGTTTAACAAATCAACGAACTATTTGGGGGAGGGAACTCTTTACCCTCAAAAGAAAAATTTTTTTTGTGAGGGAAATCAACTGAATATAAAAGACCCAGTTGCAGGGGAAATGGAAACAGCTTCCAATGAAGGAAAGTGGACGGAGAAAGAAAAAGAAAATGGGTTCAATATAAAATTAGAGTGGAAGAGAGAAAGGAAAGAGGTCGGATTCATCTTTTAGATGATGAGTGCAAATTTCTTTACAGAGGAAGACAGGGTGGAAATTGAAAGAGGTAATCATAAAAAGATTTGGAATTTCAATCAAATCTAAACTAACCAATCTTAAAAAAAGTTAGCTTTTTTGATGTACTTGTGTACTTATTTAGAAAACTACCTTATTTTGGAATCCATATTCATACATAATTCAAAACTTGGGAAAAGATGGAACCATACGAAATCATGATTGGAAAGGAGAGAGTGAGATAATGATTGTGAAAAATCTGGCCAAGGTGGGATGATGGATTGAGAGTGAAAAAAACATGTCCAGAACTCCAAGATCTCGTCGTGATCCGAAATGCGTGATCGGAAATGGACAAGCGGAGTTCCCACATAGCAGGCGGACCAATGAAAGAGTGGGATGAACATGTGGTTTCTGGAGGGGAAGGACAATGATGATGCTAATTATTGGGATGGGAAGGAATTATGTACAAAAAGGATAAGTGAAAATGACCACGAAAGCAGGACTCCCCAACTGAAGATAGATTCAATGATTAATTGCAGAAAAATCAAGAGTAAAGAAAAAGCCGAGGCAACAAAGACTTACACAGAAGCTTGCTCGAGTCCAGTGATCAAAGAACACTTGGTTTTGAGAGCGAAAAGACGCGACCCTATTCGACCCCACCTGATCTTTTTTCCGATGTTTCGTTTTCGTCGGAGATCAGATCAGACTGTTTGGAGTTGAGGAAAGAGATGCAGAGCAGAGGACTTTTGGGGGGCTCCTTGTAAAAGCAAAAAGTGAAGATCGGTTCTCAAATTTATAAGTGTTTTTGGGCGGTTGAAGTCATTCGGAGGGGCGGTCGGTCCACAGCTGACTATAGATATTTTTAAGTTTTGGGTAATGAAGTGATCGAGGAAGAGACAATGACAATACGGATATTTTACAATTTGAACCGAATCATATTAAACTTTTAATATTATTGAATGTAGGCAACCACTAGATTCAGATGAGTCTACCTCATTAAATGATTTTAGTTGTGCATAATTTCTATTATAATTAATTTCAAGGATTGAATTTAACAGTAAATATATATTGGTTTTATTTAAAACGTAATTTAGTTGATGAAATAGTTGCTCCTCAACTTGTTAATAAAGATTGAGAAATGATGTGTGTATAATTTTTTGATACAACTTAACGTATCATTTAAATAATTAATTTTTTTAATTCATATGAAACTCATAATATTAAATACATTTATTCATTTAATAATATATGAAAATTATATAAAAAAATGATATTGGTTTTATTTAAAACGTAATTTAGTTGATGAAATAGTTGCTCCTCAACTTTTTAATAAAGATTGAGAAATGATGTGTGTATAATTTTTTG